CAAGATAAAACGCACTCTTAAAATCATGGGCTTCCTTAATCGCACTTTCTATGATAATGAGGACTCCAACCAGTTCACGAAAGACCTTGAGCCAACCTTAACAGAGTTTCAGGAGACTTACAATCTCAATGCCATGGGCCAGCCGATGATACGTTAAAGTCTATTTGTTCTAATTTGACTTGATAAAATCTAGTCCCTTTTGTCATTTAATTATGCAGTCATTGTCAATCAATAATTACTCATTTCGTTTTCTTCCTTGTTAATTAAGAATATCTTATAAATTAAGAAGGCGGAGTAAATACTGTTAATTAGGGTTGAACGGAGGAAAAAAAGTATGCATGGAAGTCCAAAAGTCAGTCTTATTTAGGTCGGAGCATCCTGATATAGTCTCTTTTGCTTGCACAATTGGTCCTCGTCGAATTGAAAATCCAAATTGCCTCTGACGGAAAAGAACAGTGCATAGAATATTCTAAGTCTCTTGAAAGTTAGTTACAGTCATTGTCAATAATTAATTGGTCATTTCGCTTTCTTCCTTATTACAGTATACAAGGGTTCAGAACAATAAGGCAAGTTTTAAAATTAAAACTAACGCCTGTACAGAGTCTTACCTTTGATTCATTTAACAATAAGATGCCCACTTGTTGACATTGTTTCTTAATAATATAAATAAATAAATAAAATTATGCATCACTTCCTTGTTTTTATGTTGGCAACTTGGCATACGCACATGTACTACTGGTGGCGAAATGGAAAAGTAAAACATCAATCTCTTAAAAGATTATAAATCTTTCAGTCTTGCTTAAAAAAATACTAATTGTTAAGACTTGCTTGGAGCAACTGGGTATAGTCTCTTTTGGCGTGCACAATTAGTACTCATCGATTTTTCTTTTTCTATTTGTTTTTTTGGTAAAGATGCATGGTACTCAGCAATTTGAAACCCCCAAGTTGCCTCTAATGGAAAAGAACAATAAATAGAATATTCTAAGACTCTTGCGGGGCCATTTAATCACAGTCATTGTCAGTCATCAATTGTTCACATCGTTTTCTTCCTCGCAAGGGGCAGGAACAATAATTAGGCAAGCTGTAAAGTCAAAACTGATGGCTTTGTACGGAATCTTACTTATGATTAATATAAAAATAAGTGGCCACTTGTCGACAGAGTTTTTATAATATATATAGATATATATATATATATATATATTCATTGCAGGATAGAATGAAATATATAATCGTATAAATTCGTATCTTTATTTTTAAACTTAGAAACACAAATATATAAGACTAAAGCGATAGTATAATATTATAAATAAATATTACCGTTACTTTTCCCCATGCATAGATGTCTAAGTATTTCTCAGAAATTATATTCAATTAATTAATTAATGGTTATAGGCTCAAGATTAGTAGTGTTAATCACGGGACTCCAATGAACAAAACGAATGTCTTCAAATTTACGTCGCTATATATGTTCAATTTTCTCGTGTGACAAAGATCATATTCGAAATGATAGTAGAAAATAATTCCACATATTATTATAGTTTTTTTAATTTGAACTTGATCCCTATAGTTTATTTTGTTTTAATTAAAATCTTATATATAGATTTATTCATTAAATATGTTATTCCCTGAAGATTAAAATTAATGAATAATTAATCTACCCAAAACCAAAAAACTATTAAATTTGATAGAAATTAAAATTTGATTTAATAATTTTGCACAAAAAATTGATTTAATAACATGTTTATATTTTTTTAATTTTTTATAAAAATTCTATACGTTTAAAATTATTTAAAAAGCATAACCTAAATGATTTGTCTTATTTTGACCCTAATATATATAATTAGAGAATATGATATTCATTTAATTTTTAGTTTGTCATTTTTCGCATTGTTATGTAATTTTTTGAAAAGGATATGATTGCCGATTTTTTAAAAAGAAACACTATTTTTAATCTTTATGTAAATTAATTATGAATTATAAAAATTATATAATTAATTTTAAAGTTATATAGTCATGTAGTAAAAATATAAAAGTGTTTAAATTTATGAACAAATGTTTTTTTTTTTTTTTTGGCAATCATTAACTAGCGTTAATTCTAATGGAAGGGGTTATGACCCAACAATGCTTTTAAATTTATCAACAAGAATTTAAATTGATCAGTGGGGTTAGGTTTGACTCCATGTGAATGCAGAAAATGTTTGTTAGAGCTACCATCAATTAGACTCGACAAAGCTCGAATCTGACCCAATTATATATATATATATTTTAATGTTTAATAATATAAATAAATGAATAGATAAATAAAATTATGCATGGCTATCACGATTGCATAGCCTCGGAAACTTCCTTGTTTTTATGTTGGCAACTTGGCATATGCATATGTAATACTACTGACGATATGGGTGGGAAAGTGCTTGCATGTCAATTACGACTCCTTCAAACATCAATCTTTTAAAAGATTATAAATCTTTTTAAATTATACTTTTATTAATATGTTATATAATTAAATATCTTAATAATAGCAATTGGAATTTTAATGCATCACTTTTTAAAAAAGAATAGTAAAAAATGTAAGGATCTATTTTATTCTTACTCTAATAAACTAATATTTGAATCTTCATTGAAAGAAGTGACCACATTTAACGCATGACTCTGTCTCTAATAGCTAGGAGGATAACTTTGAGAAATAAAAAAAAGGATATATATAAATAAAAATTAAGAAATATCCAATGCCATTTATTTTTAAATTAAATAATTTTCCAAAAAATACCCTATATTATGAATAAGAGGAAGCATATATATGTCATTTGGATTTCCTCATTAAATAAGGCTAATCACAATATTATAGATACGATTAAAATGATATTATTGATTGTAAACAAAACAAAATAATATTATTATCCAAAAGTGGAAAAAATTATTTCTTTCAATTAACCATTAAAACATGACGCTACAGTATTTCTAAGAAATTCCACTGACGTATAGCCTTCAGAAAGCGAATCCAGCGCGGAATGCGGACGAGGTAACATGAATGTCTATACCTATTACATTCGTCAATTATCATGTTTTAATTTATGAAAATATTAACTTGAAATTCTTTTCAAAACCATTTATCCTAAACCAATAGTCTAGATCTATTAGATGTAGATGAGGAGTAGTATTACATGTTAGTGCGTGGATAGTTTTAAGGGTGTTCAAAACTAACCAAAACCGATCACATCAAACTAAATCGAATCAAACTCAACTAGTTGTTAGGCTTGAATTAAAAACAGTATGCATCGATCGCAGTCCAAAAGTCAGACTTGCTTGGAGCATCCGGGTATAATCTGATCTCTTTCGCTTGCACAAGTGGTTCTCAACTTCTCATTGAATAGAACTCCAAATTGCTTCAAATGTAAAAGAACAGCACAAAGAATATTCTAAGACTCTTGTCATTTAATTATAGTCATTGTCAATCAATAATTACTCATTTCGTTTTCTTCCTGGTTAATTAAGAATATCTTATAAATAGGGTTGAATGAAGAAAAAAATGTATGCATGGAAGTCCAAAAGTGAGACTTGCTTAGCTCGGAGCAGCCGCGTACATAGTCTCTTTCTCTTGCACAATTGGTCCTCGTCGAATTGAAACTCCAAATTGCCTCAAACGAAAAACAGTGCATAGAATATTCGAAGTCTCTTGCGAGTTTAGTTACATTCATTGTCAATAATTAATTGGTCATTTCGTTTTCTTCCTTATCACAGTATACAGGGTTAAGAACAATTAGGCAAGTTTTAAAATTAAAACTAATGGCTTTGTACAGAATCTTACCCGTGATTCATCCAAAAATAAGCGCGCACTTATTATATACAACTATTCTTTGCAAGATAGAATGAAAAAATAATTTTATAAATTCTTATATTTATTTTAAAGCTTAAAAATTCAAATATTATATATATATATATATATATATGCGCGCGCGACTAAAATGATAATAATATTATAAATAAATATTACCATTACGTTTCTCCATGCATAGATGTCAAAGTATTTCTCAGAAATTAGATTGAGCACATTATTAATTATTGGTTATAGGCTCAAGAGGAATGTTTCCGAATTACCGTCGCAAGTCAAAAAATCATATATAAAATGATAATTACGTTCCTGTAATTTATCTCCACATAAAAAAACCATATATATATATAATGATAATTATATTCTTTTAATTTGTCTGCACAAAAAAATCATATATAAAATGATAATTATGTTCCTGTAATTTGTCACCACAAAAAAATCACACACACGTGTTTATATATGATGATAATCACGTTCCTATAATTTGTCTCTGCGCAAAAAAATCATATATAAAATTATAAAGAATAAATTTTGAAAATATGAAATAAAGACGAAATATCTCTTTAATAAATTGATCTAAAATTTTACTACTCTCATTTCATAATTTTCAATTATCAAAATTAAACAAGAATTTTCAACTGAGATTTGTTAATTTGTAAAAGAAAAACTTGTGAAACATATAATAATCGAGTGATGATGTACTATTCTTATACCCTTATTCGCAGCCCTCAAAACACGAATTCAAGTATGATTTATTAATTTGGGAAGAAAACAATTTTCAAATAATATTGTATTTAACAAAATTTCTTTCATAAATTAATGAATTTCAGATGTAGATTTTTTTGGCAAAAAAAAGGATGTAAATTTTTGTTTTGAGAGTCATAAATTGTAGAATGAGGCAATGAACTGGGGCGGTATACTTTTAAACCAATAATTTAAAGTACATCGGGTTCTTAACTTCTTATCTCTTATTTCCCAAAAAAAAAAAATTATTCATTATTTAAATTGAATTCAATATTTTGTTCTTTAGCGACAATTACGTTCCTGCAACTTGTCTCCATGCAAATGTCCATCGCAGGAGAGAAATTTCTCAGAAAAGAAGTAACCCATAATACAGAAACGTGCGAGTGCTTTCCATGGCTATTTAAGCACTCAAATTTTCTCTCCTAAAAACACACCAAACAAACACACCATTTTCGGAAAGAATAGGTTCCAAAAAAAAAAAGTGAGCGTGATGAGAAACAAAGCTTACGTTCTGTTCTTCCTTTCATTATCCCTTCTCTTTTTAAATTCATCTTCCATCAGTTTCAGAGCACCACCTGTAAGACCACTACCTGTAACTTCTTACTTGAAGTCAATTCAGAGGTTTAAGAAATGGATAGATTTCTTGGACCGCTCCAACATATCATCCCGTCTTGCGGCTCGTACTAGTTATCAAATCGGAGAAAATATCACTTTCTTATCCAATTTCAAAGTCTACCTTGATTATTACAATTACCTTAATACCCCTAACATCTCCGATATCTACACGAATGAGTTCAAGTCAGCCTTAAAAGAGTTTCAGAGCACCTTCGGTCTCGTTTCCAGCGGCCAGCTTGACATCAAAACTGTTTCGCTGATCATGACGCCGCGATGCGGCGTTCCTGATATTATAAATGACGTCTCCATTATCATGGAGGATGGCACAATGACGTTTAATAACTCGTGGTGGCCGACTGGGAAGAAAGAGTTCACCTATGCTTTTTCTCCAGAAAATGATACGACGTTGTCAAGGCCTGCGTTCTCAGATGCCTTTGACCGGTGGTCCAAGGTGACGGGATTGTCCTTCACGGAGACGCCGTTGTGGAACAAATCTGACATTCAAATCATGTTCCGGCCATTGGACGGGAAGAAAGGAGTGGTAGGTGGCACCAGGTTCGATAACAACAAGGGCAACTTGGTCGTTTATTTAGACTCCAATGAGAGCTGGGCATCGCCGACCGACGCTAAGCATGTGGACATAGAGTCGGCGGCGATGCACCAGATCGGACACGTGTTGGGATTTGGCCACACGACGATACGCGAGGCGGTGATGTACCCTTTCTTAAAGCCGAAGGAAAAGAAGGTGGTTTTTGCGGAAGCTGAATTGGATAGCATTCACCTGCAGTACGGCGGAGCAGCTGCCGGCGTGGAGCCGGGATGGAAACTAGTTTCAACTTTATGTCTTAGTATTGCATCTGCATTGCTTTTTCGGTTCTGACAATATAAAATAAAGAGAGACGGAATATGGGATAATGATTAATTAGAATAATTAAGATTTATTTAAGATATTAAGATTATTAGGCATATTTAAATAAGGATATTTATCTATTAGAATTAAGATTTGTTATTTTATTTTATTGTTATTTTAGATTTATTTATGTTCAATAAGATAGGATATTATCATCATATCAATATCTTTTTGAATTAAATTAAGATTTAGATTTAAATTTTTAATTGTATTATTATTTTATCATTTTAGAACCTATAGATAGAGTAAGGATTTTTATTTATATTCAACTTTTGAGTATTATTGAATAAGAGTTTTCAAGAGTTTCACTATTCTCCTCCTTCTTTCTCTCTCTCCCACCTCTTTCTCTTCCCTTTGCTCCTCTCTCCCCTTCTTCCGTTTTACATTAATTTGGTATTAGAGCTTAATTCCACCCCCTTCCCTATGTTACTTTTTTGGTTAAGATCCATAAAATAACCTAGACTTTCCCTAAAACCACATATATATCATCATATAAAATATTTGAAGGGTAATTTTCATTTCATATATTCATAATGTTATATAGGATATTGCCATAAATGCCCATGCAGCGAGTGCCAAACTTGGTATGAAACCCCCCCTTGACGTGTTGGGCTCCACAATATAACGAAGGCTACCAGAGGAAAATAATTAAAAAATAATGACAATATTGCTATGCATATGACCTATGGTGTGGTTATGAAGAACATCACAAGGTTAAATAAGCACAACAGATTTTTGAGGATGAAAGTTTTGATGTTAAATTTGAAAGGCAAAAAGTTGAGGTCAAACGTCGCAATGCTGAATCCAATACTGAATTGAAATATCAAATTCAAGGATGTGCACATTTAACTGAAAAAATAAAAAAGAGTTTTCAAAAAATTTTGGAATCACTAAATTAGCATAAATAAGCAATCAAGCGGGAATAGGTTGAAACTCCTATCTTAAATTCAGAGGAATCTATATTAACCCTTGTGAAGTCTAATCATGAGAGTGGTTTGTCCATTCTAGCACTTTTATCATTATAGGCTACATTAAAAACTCCACTAGAGGCTCCTCTACTTCCTATGCAAATTGTACCTTTTCAAGTTGTGATTAGTCAAAACCAACCTCGCCTTAGTACAAATTCACCTCATCTATAAGTTACACCTACCAAGAATGTCTTGTTACTTAACATAAAGCTTCAATAGTATCTTGTTTGCTGGAAAGGTTTTCCAAAGATTTCAAATAATCAATGTTGTTTTACACATTATGCAGTTCGTTGCTATCTCACTTGTTGGAAAGGATTTTCATATCTATGCATGTAGGTGAAATTTTATCACACCCATCCCTCCTCAACTAATTTATGCCTTAATTTTAACTCATTAGGAGATGAGTTTTTCAAGTGGGAGAGAAATGATGGAATATGGGATAATGATTAATTAAAATAATTAAGATTTATTTAATATATTAGGATTATCTATTAGGAATATTCAAATAAAGATGCTTATCTATTAGAATTAAGATTTCTTATTTTAGTTTATTGTTATCTTATAATTATTTATGTTTAATAATACAGGATATTATCATCCTATTAATATCTTTTTAAATTAGATTTAGGATTTAAATTTAAACTTTTTATTCTATTATTATTATTTTATCATTTTTGCACATTTTCATTTGTATTTAACTTTTAAATATTATTGAATGATAATTTTTGAGAGTTTCGGTATTCTCTCTCCTTCTTTCTCTCCCTCCTCTTTCTTTTCTCTTTGTTCCCCTCTCCCCTTCCTATTTTACATCAATAACAAAATTAAATATTATCATGTCTATTAATAATTGAGTATATATAAATTGTCACTTTATTAAACCTTCTACTAAGACGTTAAAGGGAAAAAGATTCATAAAGTATTTTTTTTTTCAAATGCACTCAATATCTTTCACTGAACAAGGGTGTAAAAATATTCATAAACTTGTTATATTAAGTGCAATTTTTCTTGGACCGTAAAAAATGGCAAACATCCGTTTGCTTTGTAGGTTGGGTCCCACAATCATGCTAGGTGTCAAAACTAACTGACATTTGCTATTTTTCATGGTATGGGAAAAATTACACTTGTTAAAACAAATTTATGAATATTTTTGCACTCTTATTCACTTAATGAACTTGGTGCTCTTGGAGAAAATATGTATAGGTATTTTTCCCCCATGACAATCTACTATATATAGTTAGTTAACAATGGATCTTTTGATATATATTTAATTGTGTTGTGCAAAAACTCTTATTTAGATGTGTTTTACTTTCAAATCTGTCAATAAAAATTTCAAAATATATTGAATGTTATATGCTAAATATCTAGCATAAAATCACAAGTTAAAATGTTATGGTTCATATGTTCTTCTAGAAAAAAATTATTTTTTTGTAATAACTAAGTTATTAAAATTTATGATATGAATGATTTTTACTTTCATATAATTCGATCTTATCAACATAAAAATTTGTGACAAGTTAGCTTCATTATTGTGTTGATATATTTATTTACTACGATTTCAATTGAAAGAATTAAATAGTAAATTTAGTAAGTAAATAATAGAACTTCTTAGATTAAACAGAACTTTAAATCTCAAGAATAAATTTAAATCATTTAATGCTCATAGGGAGGATGAAATTTTTACTAACTTAATGACAGTTTATATTGAAAAAAAATTGCCAAAAATTTTATCATAAATATAATAATCAATGATTTTTATGTCATAAAAAATCAATAAGAAAAATTTAAAAAATGGAGATATATATTTATAAAATTAAATATAAATATATACATCAAAATATTTAAGGAGAATTACAATGAGGTCCTACACATCAAACTTAAATACTGCTAGGTCCCATAAATAAGCCAAATTAGTATGAAGTCCCATGGTCCTTACGAGTAAATAATATTACAACTAAAAAGACCCATTTGCCCTTGGCTAATTTAAAAGGGAAGGAAAGAAGGAAAGAGGAAAGAAGTCTGGTTTTCGCGCGCGATAAAGAATGGCATACGTAAGGATCAACTTATAGTTAGAAGATGAACCCATTCTTGCAATGATCTTTAGTTTGAGGTATGTAGGAGTCTGTGAAGGAAGAGGGCCTATGTTCGAACATTCTTGCACCTAGGTTGGAGCTTCAAAGAATCTAATATTGTGACCTTACGAAAGTAAGTAAATAATGAGACTAGTTTGCATATACTCCCTGTTAATCATTTAATCTAGTATTTTATGGTTTGTTGGTAGAATAGGGTTTTCTCTTTCTGTCCTTATGGGTATATAAGTCATGGGTGGTCTCTCTCTCTCTCTTTGGTCGATATATCTGTCATAGGTGGTCATTGGGGATGCATTAGTAATAGTTTATTCTAGAATATAGTACTACCTGGTTGAGCTGATGAGTCTGTCATGAGATAGTAAGATATGTTGTTAATAGCTGAAGCATCTGTTGTCAACATGCTATGGCTAGTTGTCAATATGTTGTGTGACGTGCAGGTTGAGAATACCTTAAATGTGCTGTTAATATATGAAGCTTCAGTTGTTAATATGGCATGGGTAATTGTCAATATGTTGTGTGCAGCATCGATTGATAATAACTTGTGTGTGTTGTTAATTACTGAAATTAAAATGCTATGGGTAGTTGTCAATATGTTGTGTATGGTGTAGGTTGACATGAAAGATGGCTAGTACTTCTGGGAAACATCTATTATGTATTTTTCATATTGGAGGAAAAATTGTATATAATGGCCAAGGTAGTATGCAATATACGGGTGGGAGTATAAGAACAAGAAGTATAAAGGAAGGGATAAGTTATGAAGAGTTGAGAAGAATGTTATCAACAATTATGGGGTGCGAAAGCATTCGAAGTGAGATGAAGTTCACATTTAGCATTGACAAAAGCACACTTGTAGATCTTATTGATGATGATCGAGTAGAACATTTAATTAAGTATAATGAAGAAAGTGGACATGTATATGCAGTTGAAAATGAAAATGACACTACACAAGCTTCAATGGATAACCTAATTGAGTGCCAACTTGTGTAAGTTGTGTTAATTATTTTTGTTAACATATATAATATTAAAATGTAGTATTACTAATGTGCTCAGATTGTAATTTTTTAAGGATTGATAATTTATTGGGAGGTTCAAATAAAGGGTCTTTATCTCCATGTAGTTTGTGTCCTAGGATTGAAGACTTGCCATTAGAATGTGTTGTACAAACAGTGCCTACACTAATACCTGAAATGAATTCAACGAAATGAAAGGACTTGTTTGTAGGTAAGGGCCAAATGTTTATCGATGCAGTGGCCTTTAGACAAACTTTCTATAGGTATAGTATTGGGCATAAGTTTTCATACAAGTTTAAGAAGAACAATACAAAAAAGGTCATTGCTAAGTACAAGGTTGAAGGTTGACCATGGAATATTACAATATATTCAATAAGAAAGTATAGTGACTTTTTGAGGGTAACAAGATTTAATGGTGAGCACATCCACAATGCACAGGAGAAGCTTATTGTTTCACACCCGGCAAGAGCAAATTTAACTTCGCTGATTATTGCTGATGCTTTGAGGTCTACTATAGACAAGAATATGAATGAAATTGGAAAGACTTGTATAAAGAGTATGGTGTTCGATTGACATACAGTTAAGCATATAGGGGAAGAGGAAAAGCATTGCAAGATATACATGGTCTTCCACAAGATTCTTATATGATAATCCCTTAGATTTATGATAGATTAAGGGAAACTGATACAACAAAAGTTGTGAAATAGGAAGCCTATAGCAACAGATTTGAGAGGTTATTCATTGCATATGGATGCTGTATTTTGGGTTTTCTAGAAGGTTGTCGACACATACTTTATATAGATGGATGCTTTCTAAGCGGTCCATACAAGGGAACATTGTTGGCAACTTCTGCTTATGATGCGAACAATGACCTATTTCCGCTAGCATATGCTATTGTGAGTAGGGAAACATTTAAAGATTGGTCTTGGTTTCTTAAAAATGTCAAAGATATCACAAGATCAGTTGAGATAACATTAGTTTCTGATATGCATAATGCTATTGTTGGGGCTGTCCAAGCTATTTTTGGTGGCGAGAGACATGCATATTGCTACCGTCATGTGAAGGAAAATTTTAGTGCTGAATATGTAAAAATTAATAGAGGTCAGAGGAGGACATCAAGGAATAGTAAGGAGGCTACATTAAAATTGCTTGATGCTATTGCTTATGCTAGGCATGAGGAAGAATTTAATATTGCCATAGGGAACCTTAGATTATTCAGTCCACAATTGGCACAATGGGTTGAAGCTCAAGGGGATGTAGATCGATGGGCACAATGTAACTTTCCTTATAAATGATGGGATAACATTACAATAAATCTTACTGAATCATTTAACACTTGGATTGTGAAGGAGCTGAAAGCACAATATTGATGTTTTAATACATGAGCATCGGGAGAAATTGACAAACAAGATGTTAGCATCCAAAATGGCCATGATTAATTAGAAAGATAGGGTAGGACCTAATATAGAGGCAAAACTGATGGAGCAAGTTCAAGGGCTGAAAATTTGCATGCACAATTTTATGGAGAAAATTAGATCTCAGTATAAACCTTTTCTTCTAATGGAGTAATTCACTTGACTGTAGATATTGCAAAATATGAGTACAGTTGTTTGGCATGCTAAATGAGTGGAATACCTTGTGCACATGTATGTGTAGCAATAAAGCTGATTCATGGAAATGTGTACACATTTGTGGATGAATGCTATAAGTTGATATCACAGTAGAAAATTTATGCTCGCAACATGAGGCCTATGTCCACACATGATATTCCACGGTCAGGTGCACTAACAGTAACAAATATGTTAAGCCAAACATTCTTGTAGCCACCGACGACTAGAAGGCCTCTAGGAAGACCTAAGATGAAAAGACGTGAATCTCAATTTTAAAAGAAAAAGCTTTATCACTATGGAAGATGTCATGAGGCTGGTCATACTTCCAGGACCTGCAAGAACCCTAATCCATACTTATTAATATTGGGAAGATGTAATTTTTTTGATTATGCAGCTAATATTTTGTTGTAACTGCATATGATATTTTTTATAAATGCATATGGTATTTTTTTTGTAAATGCATCTGAAAGTATAGTATATCCATGTAGCCCATGTAGGTATTTTTGGAATGGGTTGTCCATATTATGTAAATGCATGGATGATGATGCTTGTACACCTGCTCTACATGTTCAAGTTGTAAATACTGGTGTAAGCCCTGTTGATAGTGAATGAATAGGCAGTTGTCATTCCCCCTACCCAATTTGTCATTCCCCCTTTTCCAGTTGTTAACGATAATTGTCTCAATTAAAAAGACCTTGTTATACTTGGAACATAGTGTGTTGTGAATGCACCTCACCTAGTTGTCATTCCTCCTTTCCCAGTTGTCATTCCCTCTTGCCTAATTGTTAATGATTATTGTCCCAATTAAAAAGGCCTTGTTATACCTGGAACATAGTGAGGGGTGAATGCACCTCACCCTGTTGTCATTCCCCCTACCTAACTTGTCATTTCTCATTTCCCTGTTGTCATTCCCCCTTGTCTAGTTGTTAATGATTATTGTCCCAATTTAAAAGCCCTGGTTATACTTGGAACATAGTGAGTTATGAATATGTCTCACCCTGTTATCATTCCCCCTACCTAACTTGTCATTCCCCTTTTCCTTGTTGTCATTCCCCCTTGCCCAGTTGTTAACAATTATTGTCCCAATTTAAAAGCCCTGGTTATACCTAGAACCTAGTGAGTTGTGAATGCACCTCACCCTGTTGTCATTCTCCCTACCAAACTTGTCATTCTCCCTTGCCCAGTTGTTAATGATTATTGTCCCAATTAAAAAGCCCTGGTTATACCTGGAACATAGTGAGTTGTAAATACACCTCACCCTATTGTCATTCCCCCTACCCAACTTGTTATTCCCCCTTGCCCAGTTGTTAATGATTATTGTCCTAATTAAAAAGTTCAACCACTGAACACCATGATAGAAGCATTAAAAAAGGAAATGACCATTGAAATTAGCATTTACAAAGTGCAATATCTAAAATTATAGTTTTTATAAAGGTGATGACACTATATAATCAAGTAAGTACAGCCACGGTACATTTTCAGAGCAAGAACATTTACAAAGTATAATTTCACAGTTAGCTCTACCCTGATTTTATCCTAAATCATATGCATAGCTTGAGTAGCCCTTCTATCTTCTCTTCTTGTCCTTGTGGGGTCTTGATAACATAGACATCACAATGGGTTCCTTCTCATTGTTACGATGGTTGACAAGCCATCACAATAGTTTGACCTTCATATGTCGAAGGTCGTCCTATAAGAATAAAAGAGTCACATTAGAAATATCATGGGTTTACAGTTCATATGTTTTAACCAAGTAGTTCACAAGACATTTGTACGTCTGAGTATTCTGACATCACATAACCGTTGTCATCCAGGTAAGTGTTATCCCACGACTGTAACCATGTGATGACGTGTACACTACATGAATGACTACAATCAAAATTTATGATAAAAGTACTAAATCAGACAACTCAATAAAAGCCATAGCAAATTCAAACATAAGCTAAATCCATCAACTAAATAACCCTCACGTATCCTTCTGCATTCAGAATTTAGGCCAAATTACATTTGGCTTCGTGTCATTGCTAAATAAATTTGGTTTAACAGCCAGGAGCATTTGGTGAAAGCAGTCCCTTTGCACAAAAGTTAACAATATCTATTAACAACTATGCATAAGGAAATGACAAGTCAATATGAAGTGACTGACAAGTGCAGACATACACAAGCCTGTGCTAGCTTTTCCTTCACATCTGCTTGTCCTGTTTTGTCCCTCTTCTTCCCGACAAGCTTCTCACCCTTTTTAATATTCTTATCCTTTTTCTTTCTTCGCTTGTACTTAGAAATACTTACCAATGAATCCAAGACATAGAAGTTCTTTGTTTTGGTCTCGAACACATAACACCACCAATGGCCAACAAATAGGGTGGACCAAAGATGAAGTCACAATCTCTAATATTATATCCCAAGTACTCAGGCAGCATCTCTTTGCTGTTGTCAACAACAGTCCAAGACTAAGGGTTGTTTACCATTTTTTCCATGAACTCTGAACCAAAAATGTGCCTCCTAACTTTGCCTTCATTCTCTTTATGATCTCCAACTAATGTCCTGGTAACCATTGTCATAAACTAAAATTGGCAAAATAGAATCACAAGAGTAGTAAGTTAATATTTATATATTGGCAAAATTTTTTCATTGACTACAGATTTCATACCCTATCACTAATCCATCTGGTTCCACCAAGACATTGAAGCTCGGTACGAGTTAGGAAATTAGCATACATCTGCATAAAGGTCCTGTTCAAGAAAAGAAAAACCATTTGATTAACAATAAAGTTTAGGTGGTATGGTTTTTGATCAAGTGTGATGACTTACCTCCCTCCCTCGTCTTCATCACACGATGTTGTACATATCTGAAATAAATTCTCCTTCTTAGCTAGTTTCCTCCTCTGACTAGGTCTAACTCAAGGAGACGTCACGACAGGTCTTTTGAACCTTTGTGATCTCCTATGTTCTCTTACTTCTACAATCTGGAGCTGTCTAATTCCTTCTGCAGCTTCTTTTTCTTTTACTTCATCTTCATATGTACTTAACTTTCCCACTTCCCCCTTTACTTCTTCCCCTCCTTCATCCATGCTCTCATGTACACAAATTGTTTCCTCTCTTTTTTCTTTTGCTTCTTTCTCTTCTCCTTCATCCCCATCCCGTTCAGATTTTTCCTCATCTTTCTCTTCACCCAGTTCAACATTCTCCTCAACTCCTTGCTCATCTCCTTCTTCACCTTCTTCGGAGCTTTTCTTATCTGCCTCTTCATCCTTTCCTTCACTTTCTTCATCCTCATCAACCTCTTTGTTCTTTCCTTCACCTTCTTTATCCTCATCAGCCTCTTCTGAATTATCCTCATCATCTTCCTCTTCCTCTTCTTCGTCCTTCTCTTCAGAATCCTTATGTGCTTGTTCTTCTATATCATCACCCTCTCGTTTTGTCTTGTCAATAGTTTCTAAATCCTATAGAAGCTTCATTTGTAGGTTCATCAGCTCTTCACCAAGTGTTGACACTACTCTTGCATACATCTTCCTTATTTCCTACAAAACAAATTATGTGTCAGCATGGAAAATTTGGTAAATGAATATAAGATGCCTTGTTATACATACCGAGTGACTAAAAGCACATGTTGGATAAGACTTGGTGGAAGAACTACCATATGTACTCATGGGATCATGCAATATGCCTCGGATGCTCTTTTTCTCTACCTTTACCCTTTCGACAACCTTCTCCTCATCCCAATATGCGAGGGCATCATCAAGCTTTGGTGCTTCTTCTTGGCTAAGAGGAAAATACTGGAAGCAATAAACCCTATATAAACTTTTACACGTTACTTTAAAGATATAATGATCCATATACTATCAAGTTGTAAATTACAACCACACACTTACCATGAGAAAATAGATGCATCCTCCAACATTATTCCTTTCAGTTGTCTTCCTTTTATTGAGTTGTTGCTTCCACATGTCCACTTCATTACATAGTTCAGTCAACACATACATTGCCCAATCATATTAAACAATTCCTTTATGTGTTTCTTGTACAACCTTCAAAACACGGTCACTAACCCCTACACTTGCTGTTAGACACAGCAAATTCCCAAAGTATATATTAGAAACAATAACTCAAACTGCGCATCCTCTTTTTTGGATGTTATCATTTTCAAAATATTCTTGTAGGGTATTCTGAAGTAAGTTTCCTTCAATTTCTTGAATGATTTGGCATTGATATCTACTTCTCCAGTTATCTCCTTACCTTCACTCTTTATACCCAATAAATTTTGTACATCCTTTACATATATTTTTCTTACTTTCCCTCTAATGCATATTTCTTGGGTTGGAGGGTCAAGTGCCTGCATCAACTCTCCACAGATATCTCTATGTATTTTCTTGCATCCTATGCTCAACAGTTTGTCAAAGCCAATCTTCTCGCACATTTTCCTTAATTTTTCCTTCCCCTAACATATTTTGCAACCTCTGAAAACTGACTGGGAGAGCAATGAGTGTGAAAGGGTACAATATATTTTGCAACTGTCTCTCCTCTCTCTTCCTTTGCTTTCTTTGAGTATTCCTCCTTCTTTGCTGGTGACAACTTGTCGTATGCTTTTGTCAAATCTCCCTGTCCTTCGCCAATTGATTTATATTTCCCCTTGTTCTTCTTGTAGAATTCTTCTACAAACTTTGCATAACTAGAAATATTAGCCTTCCTTTCTCCCTTCATCTACAATCAATTGAAAATTCACACAGTTTAATATTAGTGAAAAACAAAATCACAACATGTATGACACACATTAACCACCTACATGTACAACTATATATGCATGCTTGTCAATTTCCTGAGACAAGTTGTTAATGTCCTAACCTTACTTATCATCAACAAATAACCATTCAGTTGTCAATATCCTGTACACTACTTGTCAATTTCCTCAGTCAAGTTGTTATTGTCTTCACCCTACTGCAGACATGCATCAGGTAACATGGATGAGTCTTTTCTGAATGCTACTTGTCGATTCCCTAAGTTTTTCTGTGTAAAAGTCATGTGTCATTTTGTATATAGGGCAAGTAAAAAATATGTAAGGTTCAGTGACCATTTGACCTATGCTTTGTACTTGTAAATAATGCAGGAGTTACAAGATAGAGTTTCCAGGGCTAAGGATTCTAATGAAAAACTAGTGACAGTAGGGAGGGAAATAGTATATTTTCATGGAGATATGATTTTACTGGAGAACTATAGTGCCCTTAATTACACAGGTAATTTTAAAGGGCTCTGCATTAGATTTAAGATATGAATTCTTGTTTTCTTATCAGATGATAAAATCTTTTAATAATGAAAAATCATTTGCAAGGATGCTAAGCACAATTAAGATATATAGCTACATGACTATTAAGGTAATGTGGATTATACTTTCAAACTTTCATTTCTTACAATATCCTATTGCCTCTTCTGCACAAAAAGTTTTTGGAAGACGATTGGAAGAAAATAACTGCTCTGCAGCAAGAAGCGAAGTAAATTCATCAATGTGCTTCTTTCTCCTTTTTAGTTTTTCTTAGCATTTCAAACTTGAACAAGGCTACTTGATGGAGAATGAACAATTTCATGATTTAGTTCTGTGACTATGGTTACAGTGGTTCAACTAGTGTGTAATGTGTTTGTGTGATGTTTTATAAGCTTTGACATTTATCATGTCGCCATTCATGAGTCAAAACCAGTGTCCTCACTCCATGCTTCAACTTAGCATGTGTGAGTTGTCAATTTCTTGAGTGAACTTCTTAATGTCCTAAACCTACTTGTTATCAACAAATAACCACATACTTGTCAATGCTCGGTACACTACTTATCAATTTTCTAATTAAACTTGTTAATGTCCTAACTTTACTTGTCATCACCCAATAACCATTCACTTGTTAATGCCCTGTACACTAGTTATCAATTTTCTAAGTGAACTTGTTAATGTCCTAACCCTACTTGTCATCAGAAAATAACGAAAATATCAAACTTTCAACAAAATTAAGTGCTCGAAAGAATATCTCATACAAGTTACTACAAGCCACAGTAAGAGAATCCACGTTGGGTTTTTCAAATTGTTCAATAGCGTTTACTTCAGATATTTCATTAGGCAGACTTCTAACATTTTTCACAAGTGCTGTCCTACTTTCAGAGTTTCAAGTTTATCTTTTTTAACCAAAGGTGCAGCTGGAAACAAAACTTGCAACCATTCATACTTCAACATTTTCATAGCTTAAAATCCCAATCAAACACGTACAGGAGCACAAGAGGTAAAATTTGCAACATAGATAATTAAATCATACACCCACGCATACAAGATCAACAAGAAGAAAAGTTCAATGCTTATGCTTCTCACCTTAATCAGCATTCATAGACAAGGGAAGTAAAACAAAGAAGCCAACGGAATAGGGGAGATGAGAACTTGTGAATCAAACTTCCAGCAGCGACGAACCACACTCTATACTCTTCTACGACACACAGATCACAAAGCTGGAGAGGAAAACCTGATTCATCCACACAATCAACACTAGCATTCACAATCGAAGAAGAAACAAGGACTGTGAATGGCAAAATGTGCACAAGAATAATGGCGGAAGGTTTCAGTTTCAGCCAAGGTGCGAACAAAAGATGAAAATGGAGGAGAAGATGATGTTTCCTGATCGGAAGGACTTCGGTAACTAATTTTAAGCAAAGTGGGAAGTTTCAATCATGCCTCAGAATTGAAAATACGGGCCCTTATCACGCGCAAAAATGGGTTTCTGCTTCCTCTTTCCTTTGTTTTTCCCCTTCAAATTAGCCAAGGGCAAATGGGTCTTTTTAGTTTTAAAATTATTTACCCCTAAGGATCATGGGATTTCATACTAATTTGGCTTATTCATGGGACTTAGCAGTATTTAAGTTTGATATGTGGGACCTCCTTGTAATTCTCCCAAATATTTATGTCATGTTAATAATATATATAAATTTAACTTTCTTTCAATTGTGATAAGGTCGATGCAGGATGATTGTAATAGGCTGAATGTTTCTGCTAGGTCGTTGCTGGTCTTAGTTTTCCTTTATTTATTAAAAAAAAAATCTTAGTTCCGCCCATGGTTCTCGCCGAATTGAAACTCCAACTTGCTTCTAATAGAAAAGAACAGTACATAGAATATTCTAAGGCACTTGCCATTTAATTACATGGGCTAACAACAATTAGGCCTATTTTAATTAGCCATTTTGTCTTCTTCCTTTTTAAAGTATACAAGGGCTAAAAACAATTAGGCATATTTTAATATCAAAACTAATTAATGGCTTTGGATGTGCAGAATCTTGCTTATGATTCGTATAAAAATAAGCGCGCACTTGTTGGCAGAGTTTTTTTTATTGTACACAAATATTCATTTGAAGATAGAATGAAAAATATAATTTTGTAAATCCGTATCTTCATTTTAAAATTTAAAAACACAAATAATATATATGACTAAAACGATCATAATATTATAAATAAATATTACCATTACTTTTCCCCATGTGTAGATGTCTATGTATTTCTCAGAAATTATATTCAACTAATTAATTATAGGTTATAGGCTCAAGAGTAGTGTTAATTGAGAATATTTAGATAGGTTGAGTGCGCCACATTAATTATTTATAATTTATCTAATAAAAATATGATATTTAAATGTCATTAAATATAAATTGATTTTTATATTAATGATATAGTAGAGAGAAAAAATAAGAAATTAAATATGTATTCTGTTATAAAAATAAAATCAATTAAAAATATCAAACAAGATTTTATTTAGATTACTAAAAGTATTTTAATTAAACAAAACAAAAATGACTTGGTGCACCTAATCTATATAAGTATTCTCGTATTAATTACAAGACTCTAATGGACAAAACGAATGTTTTCAAATTTCCATCTCTTTAATGCTCAAATTTTCTCGAGTGAGAAAAATCATATTTTGTATATTATAATAATTTTTCTCAATTTTGAATTTGATGCCTATAGTTCATTTTATTTTAAATAGAGTTTTATTTATTGGATATGTTAATCCTTGATGATTAAAATTAATGAATGATTAATCTACCCAACACAAAAATACTATTGAAGTTTATAGAAAATTTGATTTAATAGTTTTTTTTACAAAAAATTGATTTAATAACATGTTCACATTTTTAATTATTTTCATAAAAATTATATATATATATATATATATAAGAATTATTTGGAAAAAAAATAACCTAAATGATGTCTTATTTTGACCCTAACATAATTAGAGAATATGGTATTCATTTAATTTTTACATTTTCATTTTTAGTATTTTTATGTAATTTTTTGAAAAGGATATGATTGTAGAGTTTTTAAAAATAAAATATATTTAAAATTTATGTAAATTAATTTTGAATTATAAAAACTATATAATTAATTTTAAATTTATATAATCATCTAATAAAAATATAATGTTTAAATTTATCAATAAATGTTAGTCCTAATAGAAGTTGTTATGACCTGACAGTGCTTTTAAATTCATCAACAAGCATTTAAACATATCAACAATGTTTTGAATTTGAGTCCGTGTGAATGCATAAAATGTTTGTGAGATACATTATCAATTAGACCCAACAATACTTAAATATAATTGAATTAGATAACCGTATAAAAAAGTGTTTAAATTTCATTTTTAACGAAAATTCAGTAATTTTAACCTTAAAGTATTAATAAATCTAAATGTCTAATAGAATAAATTATAGGACTCACTTTAAATAATAGTTCGTAGGAATTTAGTTTCAAATTGAGGAAATTATAAGCTCGTGTAAATTAATTATCCCATATGATGTACATTCCTAAATGCAGAAACGAGTGCTTTCCATTCCAGGGCTATTTAAGCAGTCAAATTTTTTATATTGCCATAGCAATGATAAATAATTTTTTTTAAAAGCCGTTTTTGATCTAAAGATCATTAAAAAATGGTCAAGGCTGTGACTTATATTAGGAAATTATTTTTGAAAAAATTGAATATACATCTTGTATAATTATTACAAAACATAAAACCAAGGTGATAATTATATTGTGAAATATGTAATTAACATTTTTAATATTTAATTATTAATTTTTAAAAAGACTAAAATGTAGAAAACCCTCCTGAACTTTGAAACAGTTGCAGAAATCTTCCCTAGCCTTTATTTTGGTTTTTCAAAAACCCATATTCTTAATTATGTTATTTTTTTATGAGGGTTAAAATGTCAATCAACTAAAAAATGTTATTAAACAAAAATAGTATATTGTGTAACTATTTATAATAAATTTTTTACATTTTTTTTGGATAGTTGAAGCATTGATATAAAGAAAAATATTATTATCATTGTATAAAATTTTAAATATTTTAGCCATATGCATTACATTAATCTAACATGGAAAATAAATAAAAATTTATATTTTAAAACAATAAAATCATGCACCATTGATAATAAAAAATTGGATAAAACTAATATAAATGTAAATATTTAAAGTTTTATACAATGATAATAACTTTTTTTTTGTTATCAATATCTGAACTATCCAAAAGATATAAGAAAGTTACTATAAATAATTAAAATATAATATTTTTGTTTAATAATATTTTTTAGTTGAATGATATTTTAACCCTCATAAAAAAAATAATATGATTAACAATAGGGGGTTTTGAAAAATAAAATTAAAGGTTATGGGAGGTTAATTTTAAATTTTTAAAAGTAAGAAAAGTTATATACAACTGTCTTAAAGTTCAGGAGAGTTTTATGCATTTTAACCTTTTAAAAGTAAACTGCACCCCATAAACTCAAGTTATATAGCTCCACTATTATTAAATATTTAATTGGTATTTAGCAGCGTTGTAGACTTGTAGTAAATTAAATTGGTGTCAACACATAACTAGAGAGGTAAATGTCACGTACTCAAGAAAACTATCAATGATTAGCTCAAGATAAGGATAAACCAGCTTGAGATAATTCTTTTTATTAAATGAGGAAAAGGTGATCACCAATAACAGTGAATTACAAAAGAAAAGCATTAGAAAGGGAAAATGCAAAGAAAGTTCAGAGAGGATAACAGAAAGAAAGGTAACAATTCAAATCAACATGATCCCCTCTGAAGACAGTGCATTCCTAATATACCTACCCTATTCATGTTGAATGTCATTCCCCTCTCTCTCTTATCTTCCACGTGACCCTTCTCGAGTTGTTACTCCTTTGCAGCACAATAGGACCCTCACTCAAGCCAGCATGTCCACTTCCAGCTGACTCATCCTGATGAGGTGCGATAATGCCCCCTCTAATAGTGTTCAACCTTGTCGTTAAGGTCAAACACTGGGTAATTGGAGGCAATAACAGACGCATCTTCCCAAGTGGAATCAAGGGAGCCATCCCACTGAATCAAAACTTGACAAACCCATATGCGACCATTTTGAATATGACGAACAGTAAGTACAGCAGTGGATTGCAGAATGGGACACTCTGTGGTCGTGGTCAAAGGTAACGGAAGATATACATCAGGCACTTCCCCATGATAGCATTTCAAGAGGGAGATGTGAAACATCGAATGTATCTTGGCATGGGAAAAGGCAAATCCAATTAATACGCCACAGGCCCAATACGTTAAAGAACTTTGAAAGGCCCAAAGAACCTAAAGCTCAATTTCTGGTTATGATGAAGCTCAACTGAATGCTACCTATACAGATGAAGCTTGACAAAGACGAAGTCACCTTCATTGAATTCTTTCTTCTGTCGATACGAGTCGACGTATTTCTTCATGCGGGCTTGAGCGTGAAGTAAGTTTTGCTTATAAGTAAGCCGGGAATGATATCACTCTCACGTAGTTAGGCATATATATCAGCAGGAATGTCCGCAGTGGAGTATCCTCGTAACAAGGACAGTGGATTGTAGTCATAAATAACTTTGAACAACATCATACCAATAGATGAGTGAAAGGCAGTATTATGGCTGAATTCCATCGGAGGCAGAAACTACTCCAATGATGAGTGCAATCATAGACGAAACATTAGAGGGACATCTCAACATAATGATTCAACGCCTCCGACTGGCTGTCAGTCTCCAGATGGTATGCGATGCTCATATTCAACTGAATGCCCTGAAGAGAACAAAGGAGTGCCAAAGCACACTCGTGAAAACTCTATCGTGATCAGAGATGATAGTCTATAACATACCGTGTGATTTAATGACGATACCCAGAAAAGCCTTTGCCATACTATGACTGGAGTAATTAGTCTTCAATAGCACAAAGTGGGCATATTTGGAAAGTTAATCGCTGACCACCACGATAACCAAGAAGTTACATATGGTGGTTAATGATGTGATGAAATCCATGGCCACTAAGTCCCATATTTGAGTAGGAATGTACAAGGGGCAAAGCAACCCTATCAATGAAGTTTGAGAAGTCTTCGCACGTTGACACACCATACTACATCGCATGAAGTCCTGAATATCTTGATGCATAGACGACGAGTACACCATGGTAGCTAAACAGTGAAAAGTTTGAAGAGAGCCTATATGACCACCTAAACAGAGGAATGAAACTCTTGGAGAATGTGGCATAGTAGCTCAATGTCTTTGTGAGAAATCATTGCATGATCATTGAAGTAAAGAAGCCTATCCTTGACAGTATAAGACTGCATCTCATCGGGCTTTGATATCACTTTGGCACATAGTTGTTGGATACAATTTAAAGAATGGGATGCCATAGCAATCTCCTTAAATAAAGGAGTTTGGGTATGCAAAATGCTATATACGACACACGATATAAGGCATCAGTGGCTAAATTGGTTTTTCCAGGACAATATTCAATTGAAAATTGGTAACACAACCATAAATCTCTTGCTCAAGTGTCTGCAAAACTTGTCAATCGAGATGCTTGAGGCTTTCTTGATCCGTTCGAATCATTAAGGAGTGGGCAAATAGATAATGACAGAACTTGACAATGGCCTGGGTAATTGCATAGAATTCTGGAACATAAGCTGACTGCAATTGCATCCTTGGAGAGAGCTTTTAGAAAAATAAGCAATTCGATGATTGTTTTGACTGATGACAGCACCAATTGCACAGCCTAATGCATCTGTTTCAACTACAAATGGATGAGAAAAATCTAGTAAGGCTAGAACCGAGGCCTCATTAAGAGTTGCCTTGAGTTGAGCAAAGGCTTAAGTCACATCATCAGTCCATATAAATCCTTCCTTTGTAGAAGGTTTGTGAGAGTAACAGCTAGTTGAGCATACTTATGCATGAACCGCCTATAGTACACTGTGAGCTTGAGAAAGCCTTTTAATTGAGATACAGTGGTCGGAGTCTGCTAATGAAGCACTGCTTGCACCTTTGAGGGGTCCATAGACACACCTTGAGATGATACAATATGCTCGAGATAGTCCACTTGCATTTAGCAGGAAGAACATGTTGGAAATTGTGCCCTAGGGTCAATTATTGTACTATGCACATTATTATGTAATGAATTTTTCTTTTGTTATCATAACAATTGCATATTCAATATGATAACTGTATCTTTAGACAAACTATAGTGATTGTCCTAAATGTCCCTGGTCAGTCATCTATGAGGGATCATAGATGAAACAAGACCAGTATGACTTTAATTAATTATGGAGATACAAATCAAAGTTATAGGCACTTAAAAAAGTAGAAGGTGCTGGACTGACCCGCTATGAGAAAGCTACATGGTACAAGTTATAAACTTATCTCATATGTAACTATATCACTAAGCCCTTTGACCTGAGATCATCATGGATTCCTACATGGTGACCGCTAAACTTTGACCTAGTCAAAAGTCACCTTTGACCGGGTGATCATAAAGGTTATGATTGAGTTTAGTGATATTCATACAAAGGAATATGAGTAATCAAGATGGAGTTTTTCTCTCACATTAAGTGAGAGATATTATTGGGCCTCTTGATGAGTAAGACTGAGAAAATGTATGGCCATATTACAATGAAAAGGGTTTTTGCATTGCTACTATCAGTCCACTCAGAGATTAAGAAAATAATGGTCAGGTAAAGAAGAATGACAATTCCATGTCTCATACTTGACCAAAATATTGATCTAATACGGTTACATGATAGGTTACATCAGATCATCGATCTCCATGTGAATTGAATAGTTGCAATGTCTTGCTAGAAGCCACATGTAACTTGTGGGCTAATAGCATAATTAGCCTACTGTCAATTTCATATGAGCCTACAAAGTCGCACACAAGAACAGCCCAACTTGAGCTATAATGTCCAAATTTATTGAATCTGAAATATATCTAGATTCAATGAATGAAATATAGGGTGAATGAATTTTATATATATATATATATATTTGAATATTTATTTGATAAATATATATATATTTTATATGAAATATAAAATTCAAAATATAATTATATATATATATATATTGAAATATATATATTTATTCATATGTGTATATATATATGATATATGTATATGATATATAAAATTAAATATATATATATAAAATATAATATATATATTTTCAAAATATATATGCGTATATATATTCGTATATATATATAATATAATATGTATATGTAATATATATTATATTATGTTATGTTATGTTAGTTTAAATTTAATTTTATATGATAAATTAAATTTAATAACTAACATGATATGAGAGAATATTATGTTATTTTTATAATTTAAATTTATAAGATAAATTTAATTATATTTTCGTGGACATTTTAAGTGAAAGATGAAAACCCTTATCTATCTACTATATATAGATAGGGACGTCCTTTATGAAGGAAGAGAGAGTTAGAAAATTTCTAATGGCAAAAATATTTTGAGAGCCACAAAACATCGTATAGAAAGAAAAAATAACGTTTAAAGAAGAATGGACGTTAAGAGTGCTAGCACATTGTTCTAGTTAGAGAACTGTTTGTGTAAATACAGGTAGAGGGAGCAGATCTATATTGTCAGCTCCTGAGATCTAAACTCTTGAAGAAAACGTGCACCAAATTCAAAAAATTAAAAGGTAACTCTTTTATCCACTTTGACTTAAACGAATTCGTTTGGTTTATATCAGAATAGAAACTTTAAAATTTTAATCTTCCACTACGCATCCCTATTCGACAAAACATTTGGAATGATCGGCAAATAAGTTGTGATTTTGCAATTGTTTCATAACACACTCCATGTGCTCAAGATGTTGGGACCCAATAGCACTATAGATTAAAATGTCATCAAAAAATTAAAACAAATTTACACAAAAATTGTTTAAAATTAGAGTTCAAAATAGCTAGCGCATTCGTTAAACCGAAAGACATGACAAGCCATTCATATAGCCCCTAATGAGTCTAAAAGGCTGTCTTCTCCTTGTCTTCATTGCATCCAAACTTGATGATATCTAGCATGTAAATCCAGCTTAGAATAATAAACTGTGCCTCCTAGCTCATCGAGTAATTCATCAACAGTTGGCATAGGGGATAAGTCTTTCACTGTGACTTGTTTAGTGTTCTATAGTCAACATAAAATCTTTAGGAGCCATATTTCTTTTTGACAAGAAGCATTTGGGGCAAAAATTGGCTTGTACTCAGTTGGATAAATCCATCCTTAGACAACTCATCAACCATCTTCTCAATCTCTGTCTTCTACCTATAAAGATAGCGGTGTGACCTCATTTTCATGGGTCCTGTACTAAATTGAAGTAAAATCCGATAATCATAATCTCTCGCTAGAGGAAGGCTGTAGGGAGTTTCAAAAATAGCCTAGCATTTGTCAAGTACCTTGGATAAATCTGCTAGAACATTCTCATCCTGCTTAATTACGTCCTCAACGGTGACCGGGTGCAAGAAGTAAACATCTTGCATAGCCCATGTATCTTGTAATCGCCAGAAATGGTGACACTGAGCAGGTGTATAGTTGGCTTTTTTCTACCCAAATAAAGCAATGAAGGATCTGTTCATAAAAAATTTGACTGTGGCTTCACTATAATCCGCCACGTGGGGTCCTAAAGTGGCTAACCACTTGGATCCGATAACTATATTAGACCTAATAGTGTTAACCACAAAAGTTGGAAATGCAATAATGTGTCCATTTATTTGGACTTGTAAATTTCGAATTAGGCCCAAGTCATTTATCATTTCTTCGTTGCCAACCAAAATTCACATGGGCTTTATTGGTTCAATTGGTAGTTTGAGGTTGCCTACTAACCTTAGATGCATACAACAATCAAAGCTACTACCATCCAATAAAATCTGGACTTGTGTTCCCATCACTTGTCTAAAAAAATGGATCACGGTATTACTCGCTACCTTATTATAAGCTTGTAATGAAATGTGGTGGTAGGTGGCTGTATCCACAGGTTCATCTACTTCAGTCACCAGACTCAATGGTGGTTCTACCTCCTCCTCATCCCCTTCAATATAAAGCCACATGAATTGGGGATTCGCACACTTGTGGTTAGGAGAGAATTTCTCATCACTCGTGTAGCACAATCCCTTTTCCCTCCGTATTTACATTTCAGCCGGAGTAATCTTGTGTACAAGCGACAATGGTTTGATAGAAGGAG